CCTTTTGGCCGTGTAGCAGCGCTTTCCCTTTGCAACTGCCACAATGGGACAAACAAAAAGCGGATATTGGCGTGAACACAAAATAAACGAAGGAAAAACTAATGTAAAGGACAGAGTCATCGCGGCAGGTAGGCACAACACGCGGAGGGCTCCTGTTGCCGCGCGGGTGGAAAAAAACAGCCACTGGAAAATGTGCTAAGCAAATGTAGCCAAATGGTGGGTATAAATTGTTCACAAGTTTTTCTCAAATTCTCCCCCAATAGTGCCGCAACCCATCCGCTTATCGCTGACCCGCTTTTTCGCTGACTCGCGCTTTGGCGCCACCCCGCGTAAGGCTAGAGGTTGTACGCGACGCAACTCATGTAGCGCTCCACCTTGCGCAAGACGTGATGGAAGTTGTGCCTGCACTTGTCCCTCTTCCCCTTCACAAACGCAGCAAACTCCTTCCCCGATTTGCTAACATTGTCGGAGAAGGAATAAATGTCGTTGTTCGATATGAACTGATCAGAGTAGTTAAAAATGGTAGATGCGTATGTCTTTGGCTTTGTATTTATTTCATACTTTGAATTGGTAAGCAAGTTTATTACATGGTTGGTGGGGGGAACGTTCTCAGTTCTAGTCGTGGTGACCTCTCCGGGGGGACTATGGTGCCCCCCTCTTTTTCTTCTGTGGAAGGTGTACATGTCATGCCAATCTTGGGAGTCCAGCCGAGAGACATCCACTTCTGTCCGAATGAAACTCTGGCTTTTAATTCCCTCGACCACGTTGGTGAAATTTAAAATGGGGTTATACCTTAGGATTTTATCTATGCCGATGAGGTGCCTGTTGACGATGCTGGCCAAGTTGGTGTAGTCCTCCTTCTCGACACTGGAAGTGATGATCATACTTTTTTTCTTTGTCTCAAGGAAATCAACGAACATTTCCTCGCTCACCTCCTTTGCCTTCTTTTTATAGTTGCAGTAGGCCACGAATTCCTCATGCAGGTCGTTCACATATTTGATCATTCTGCTCATCTTGGTTGTGTGATCCGATGACTTCCCTCCCACCTTGGATGTCACCTTGTTGTACCCGATTGTGCATCCCTTGTCCCGGAGGTACTCCTTAACCAGTTTGAAGTTCTGTTCGAAATTGTTCAGGTCCTGTCCGGGGAAAAAAAAAAAAAAATGCGCGGCGTTGCTACGTATGTGTTTTTACATATGTGTGTGTGCGCACATTGGGAGTTGTCACTGCGGAAGGGGCAATGAAGTCGCCGCTAGCTATGCACTCCTCGGCGTACACTTAACACATGGATGGAGAAGTTCTCCCGCTCGGCAGGCGCCACGATGCTGTCGTAAAAGAACTTGTGGTTATTCAGGTCAAAAAAGTCAACAGGGGCAGACGCATCGTCGCTCTCCTCCGCCTCTGCCTCCCCCGCAGCATCGTCCGGAAAGATTGACTGAAGCCACAACCAAAACACAGCCCGTAGTTGTTCTACATGGAAAAGGTTCACCCCGTTCCTATACACATGGCAGACTCTATTATACAATAGTGGGTCATTCAGTAAGAAGAACTCATTAATATTTACTTTTTCGCTCAACACATTTTCGTAGTTCACATCGTCAAGTGGTTCTTCCTCTACCTCCTTGCTGTGGTGCATGGGGTGTCCAGGGTTTAGGGTTGACGTGCCCCCTCCTGCAGAGTAACATCCCTTGCCCTGAAACGCATTCACTTTGTTGACTCCCCCTTCACGTCCACACAATTTATTAGTCACATTTTCTTTGTCTCTTTCAAAATCGATTTGCACGTTGAACATAGTATTATGCATGAGGTCCACTTTTTTGTTTTTGCTTCCGATCGTTCTGGTCCTATCGGGGCACTTCTTTCCTTGAATAGAGTTAGTGAGGTGGTCCAAGTCTGCTATGTTAACGACGACACTGTGTGGCTCCATGTAGGCACTCACCAGAGCATTGAATTTGTGAAACAAGAGGAGTCGATTGTTGTCCCATTGCTGCATATGATTTATGCTCTGAGTTATTTTCCTTTGGAGTTGTATCAACTGGCTGCAATGCTTGTTAATGTTTCGCGTCAGCTCAGGGACATACATCTTTACACCCTCATCGGCTACCACACGCAAGTCATCACTTCGGTTGGAAGCACTTCCTGTTGAAGCCCCCTCTTCCCCTGTTAGGTCTTCCAACCCTCCTGAACTGCACCCATATCTGTTGATGAAATTTTCTTGGTATGTTGCATAGTCGTAGGTTACGTATTCTTCTAAAGTGAGTTCCTCATCCGTGGGAGTTGCATCCCTGATTGGTGCACTGCACCCCTCGGGGCCCACACAACCGCTGTACTCCTTCGCAGTTATGCGTTTGCTCTCACTGGAAGGATCACTCCGCTGTACCGCACCCCGTTCTGCACCCCACACAGTGCTTCTTCTTTTTAAGTGGGCACATTCCCCCTGTTCATACCCGCTTCTGAACCCTCCGCCATGGGTTCTACCTTTTTGTTCACACAAAAACTGGTACATGTGTCTATATTGAAAAAGTTCCAAATCGTAAGGTCGGTTTGAAAGCAGCAGCATGGCTTCATTTATTACGTGAAAATAATCTTCCTCTTTTTCTTCCTCTTCTTTGTTAGTCTTCTCTAGCGTTTTTTCGTGCATCCGGTTTGTTCTCTCTTTGGTAGAGGTACTTCTACTACCCCCACCTGGGTTGCCATCACATCTTCTGAGGTCGCGAAAGAAGGACTCATAAAATGGCTGCCTCTTATCAAAATGAACAAATAATTGGGTGCAGTCAATTAGGAATCCAATGCATAGGAGTAGCTCCTTACACATTTGGAAATGACACTTGAGAAGGTGAAACAACCTCGGGTACTCAAAATGCTCAAGAAGAAGTACAGCCATGGGGGACACTATATTGACGTTGTCTACATAAGGAGCATTATCCATTCCTAGTTCCTCCACCAAGTTGTCTCCATCCTCATCATCCGTTTCTTCTGCATCACTACGACTGTAGGTGCATTCTTCTCCCCAGGGAGTATCTCCCACATCGCAAGTGCCACGTGAACGGTTTGCTCCTGAGGGGGTTGTGCCAGGTGTACTACACCCCTTAGCATCCTTCCCCCTGGACAATATTTCCCGCTCCACCCTTGAAATCTCCTTCTCTACGTACGCGCCGTAGGTCGGTTTGAACTTCCTCTTAAAGTCGAAGCAGTACAGTAGGGACAAATCATTAATGAGGAAGTTGTAGTAAATCATCACCTTCTTTTTCCTCTTCCCATTTTTCTCACACTTGCCTCTTCTTAACAAATCAGGCGTTATGTAATCTATACCAAAAAAATTGAACACTCTGCAAACGTGTTCTAGGCTGTCCTTGATGGAGATATTCATGGGGGGGAGTGGGGGGTACAAGAGGTGGTGTCTGTCTCACTAGGTTGAAGGGGTTCCCATAAGTTTCTCGGTGCAACGAAGTAGAGACGTTATCCCGGGTGCACTACGATTAGGAAAAAAAAAAAAAAGGGGGCAACATTATGCATTTGCTCTCAATGCGGAGAGGGGATAGGGTGATTGTTCCTTTTTTTTATGGGCCATCTTTTATATATTTTATTTATTTTTTTGTCACTTAATTGGGACCAGTTAGCACAAAAGAAGGAACAGAAAAAAAAAAAAAACAAATAAGCGTGCCCAATGGAACATCTATTGCTGAACCTCCGTCTTTAAATGAACCACTTGTGAAAAACTTCGTAACAGTGCCAAGGCATCCACAACGGAGTGGTGCAAAAATTAAGCCAAGCATAGGGTCAAACAAATTTCTGATCAATCTGGAGACACACCTACCTCATGCAAACGTTTCGCATGTGACACACAAAAAAAAAAAAAAAAAAAGAAAAAAAGGGATAACCTTCCAAAGGCAAGAAAAAGGGAAAACTTATGTATTCATTTATTTTTTTATTTTTTTTTCAGGACCATTTTCACCTTTTACAAAAACGGATTGTGCGTGCCCCCCCCAGCGCGAACCTATTTATGACTATTTATGTAGTGTGGATAGAAAACAAAAAAAAAAAATAGGAAGTAGCCTGATTTCGCCGCCTCTCACAGAGCGCCTTTAGAGACCGGCCCCCTTTTTTTTTTTTTGCCAAAGCTACTTTCGAAGCAAGCCCACGAGAGGCTTCTTTCTGTTATGAGGTCCACCAAAACTTTTCCCACAAAGTGAAGAATAGGGATGATCAAAAAAAAAAAACATTTTATAATTGCCACGCGAATTGATCATTCGATGACAAGGTAAGAAAAAAAGGTACTCAACGAAGAAGAAGTTAGAATGGAGTTCTCCCTCATATCAGCTGGATCCGATGCGGTAAAGGCAGAGAAAAAATGGAAAAAAAGGAACACACCACCCCCTTTTTCCCATGCGCACACTATTGCCATGTCTGACTTATTTTAAGCCACGCGGCACACCATACGAAAAAAAAAAAAAACACCTGGATATGGCCTTCCATTTTTTTTGCGTGTCTACATGGTGAGCGGCCTCCCCCATCATAAAATGCGTCCCATTTGATGCTTCTTTTTTTTTATTTCATGTCCTCCATTTGTGTCATTGCAGAAAATCTACAAGTGCGTTTTCATCGGGAAGGAGGCAGTGAAGAAGGAGATTTTCCGAAAATATTATCGACACAAAAAAATAGATGCAAAGATTCGAAAATTAAGAATTTCTAATGAAATTAAATTCACAAAAAAGCTAGCCAGCATAAATATAGATGTACCGATTCTGTACTTTGTTGATGTGAATGAGAAAAGTTTGTATTTGGAATTTGTCAACGGGTGCACCGTTAATCAGATTCTTAAAAATGTAAAAGAATACGAACCCAATGTTCCTAGATGCATAGGTAGAGTGCTAGCGAAAATACACAATGGAAATGTAATTCATGGTGATTTTACAACCTCTAATTTGATTTTGAGGAACTCCTACTTTGGTGATGGATGCACCATTTTGGATTCGTCCACTGGGTTGCCTTACCAGTTGGACAATGCTGACTCGATACCGCTTTGTGTTATTGACTTTGGTCTGTCGTTCTTATCCGCTTCCGTCGAGGTGAGACATAAGGGGGGGATGGCCACCGATTTCAGCCGTTGTACCTCCATGCAGCTTAGCGTAACATGTATTCACCCTTGCGTGTACATTTGCGCGGGGTGACGACGAACCAGAGCTATATTTCTCCTCCGCACTCTACTCCCTGTAGGACAAAGCGGTCGACCTGTTCGTCCTTCTGAAGGCCATCAAAAGTTTCCACAGCGAGTTTGCGCTCCTGGTAAAGATGAGCGATTTTGGTGTAGCATATATGAGTGAACAGTTGGCCCATCATTAAGCTTCCTACTTAAATATGTAACCTCATCACAGCAGCATGGTGATGATGAACCACCTGACTTGTTCATTTTCCTTCTCCCTTCCTCTTCCCGAACGTATCACACAGGAGGAGGATATCCTCGCAGGGTACCAAACCAAATCAAACAACTTTGATGAAATAAAAAAAAAGTTAGAAATAGGTAAGGCGATACTTGGGGGGCATCACTTTACATGACATATTTCACACGGCCATTATATGTTAAGCAGCATTACGTGTGGCACACTTTTGCTCCATATTTTCACTTTTTTCTCCTCCGTCTTTCTTCAGTCAAACAGAGAGGACGCAAGAGGCCCATGGTTGGATAGAACCCGCATGTTCAGCACTGAGAGGAAGAAATAACCAGGACGGTTGATCCTTTTCCATCTGATGTCCCATCCCTGTGAGGATGACTCCTCAAGGAAGGAAATGCGCTTTTTTAAAAATATTTATAGCCTCATTGTTTTCTTATCCGTTTGCGCCACTTGGGAAGTGTTTTCTTTGTGGTGCTTTTGACGATCTTTTTTGGACTCATTGTTTTTTTTTTTTTTTTTTTTTTTTTTTGTGTACTTTGTTGGAACACCCTTGGGGGAACTTATTAATTAACTTTCACACACACCAACCTCTCACTGTGTAGTTATAGCTTTAATGTGCATGCGTGGTGATGCATGCTTTTTGCCCCTTTGATGCATTGAACACAGACAAATCACCACCATACACTCCTTCCCTTTTAAACAAACAAATAAAAACGCGCGGCGTGCTTCGTACCTACGTCTACACAGCCACACTGCGAGGTGGCAAAAATGAAAGCAGCAAGAAGGCCACGAAAAAGGAAAAATCGAGGAGTACAAAGCTTTTGCTAACATTTGCGTGTTGACAATTTAGAGGATGAGGGACACACAGAACTAATTTTGTCTCATGTGCTGGTAAACAATGGCATCCATAAAAAAAGCACACGCAACGTTTTTAAAATATATTTTTTTTCCCCTAAACATGCGTTGCACGTGGGAGACCTTGTGATGAATTAAAAATAATGGGAGTAGGCCTCTTTTCTCCGCTACCTATTTTTATTTCCGTTTGGGAAAGCAGCACACGTGGGGAAGGTGCATGCACATAACCTGGGGGACACTTTCCACTTGAAACCAAAAGGAAAAAAGAGACAGCCACATATACAAGCAAAAAATGTGAATGCCAACGTGAACTTTGTCCTGCCCCCGAATGAATGCATCACTACGCAAGTTAAAATTTATATGAGGAAAAAACTTGCTGTATTTTTTCTATACTTGTAATTTCTAATGAATGAAAAATACGTGTTTTTTTTTTTGCAGTACTGCTCCATATGAGACCCCCCTACACATGCACGTTTTTTTTTCTCACATGTGTAATGGAAAAATGGGGCTGTGTAAAAGCTAGCAGTTGGGGAGCGCGCCCTACGCCGCGGTCCACACGGCCACGCGGCTACACAGCTAAATACTCCGCTGGGTATCCTCTCCCCCAATGTGGTAGGTATACGTATGGCACACTGAGGGTGAAGAACTGCAAAACGGGGAAATACAAAAAAGAAAAAAAAAAAAAAAAAGCGGGTTTGCTTCCACGCGAGGGGAGTAAAGGGGGGGGCGGGTTGAACAGCTGATGTGGGAGAGGCTGAATAAAATTGGCTCATTCGCACCTTAAAAAAGCTGCTACCAAAAAAAAAAAAAAAAGGTGGCAGGCTAAATGAACAGGAACTGGAAGAAAGGCCCCTTTTTTTGATCCGCCCTCCTGCGCAAAATAATAAGCTGTGCGAGCTGTGGGATGAAAAGGTCCCCCCCAAAAGTTGGCACACTGCGGAGGAACTTCTTGGACACTCAGTAGCTCGCAACATACGGTGGGCTATTTTTACAAGGCTGCGATGCGCATACAAAAAAATACATAGAAAAATATATATATAAATATATATATATATAATATATAATAAAAAATATATATAAAAATATTATATATAAATAATATACCCCATATATTATGTACTCATGTGCGCGGGTGCTATCCTGGGAGATGGTCCCCGTCGGGGCATACAGGTACAATGCTGCCTGATGCGTGCATATAGGGCTAGGTGCATGTGGCAAAATGGATACAGCCCCGCCCCGCCATAGGGGGACTACTAACGACGGATCCAATCGTATGCGATGCAGCCACCCGCTTGGTGGTAGTAGTAGTAGTAGCAACCAGTATGCCGCAGGAATACGCACCCTATGAGCTTGGCAAACTTGCAGCCCCCAGGAAATAAAATACATTAACCACCCCCCTAGAGAAGGAAAAACAAAAAAAAAAAAAGGCCCCGCCCGAGGGGGCCATTGGAACCATATTTTTGCCGCTTTTTTTTTTTTTCGGTTGGCATTTTTTTATCATGCAATATTATTAGTGGTGAGAAAACAATTTTTTGTCACGTAGGCAATTTAAAAAATTAAAAATAAAATAAATTAAAATAAATTTAAAATAAAAATAATCCCAAATTAAATCAAAACGAATTAAGAAAAAAAAAAAAAAAACGCACTTCACCCACGCCGTGAAAAAAAAAAAAACATCTTTTTCGAAATTTTTCCAGTTGAACAAATTAAGGAAAAAACAAAAATTAAAAAAAAGTTAAGCCAAAGTGAGAAAAACGCAACGAAGCGTAAACCCTGCCCCAGAATAAAAGCATACCTGCGCTGGATTGTGCTACATTAAGCAACACCCTCCCCCAACCCCTTATAACCTGTTAACGAATTTTTCCAACCGTTCGCGAGCCTTTCCCGTACAAGGAAAAAAACCCAACAGGTACGCCAAAGAAAAATGAGATGTGATGGAATGTGATGAAAAAACAGGAAAATAAAAAAAAGGGGGCTTTGCCATTTTTGAGAGAATTTAAAAAGCGCCCTATCGCGTTGTCCCAATTGCATGACGCTAGGAAAAACCGTGGGGACCGCTTGCATCTGAATGTCGCCTTGCAAGAGAGCGATTGGGTTACCCCGTTCGTCACCCATCAAAAAGGGCACTCAAACTGTTTTTACAGCTCCCTTTTTATATATATATATATATGCTGAGAAAAAAAGGGAGTGCCCCAAAGAGGCAACAAAAAAGTCTCTTTAATTTGCGTTCACCAAAATGGTTGAGCGAAAGGAAGCATATATAAATACATCTGCGTGGGAATGAAGCGCAAACGTTTTTGAACATATGTGGATGCATTATTACCCCACTTCGTTATGCATGTTATAATTTACATGACTCATTTTTTTTTTCTGCCCCACCCCCATGCAGACATACAGAAATTATCTCTGAAGCTTGAAAGCCATTTTTTTTTTTTTTTTTTCCCAAGGCCCCCCCCCCCCCCCCTGCTAGAGCAAAATGTCAAAGGAAACCTTCGCATTCAATGCCGATATCAGGCAGTTGATGAGTTTAATCATTAACACATTTTACAGCAACAAGGAAATTTTTTTGCGAGAACTTATTAGTAATGCAAGTGATGCTCTCGACAAAATAAGATATGAAGCCATCACGGACACACAGAAATTATCCGCTGAGCCGGAATTCTACATTCGAATTATTCCAGACAAAACGAACAACACACTAACCATTGAAGACTCCGGTATTGGTATGACGAAAAATGATTTGATTAATAATTTGGGTACAATTGCCAGGTCAGGAACGAAGGCATTTATGGAGGCCATTCAAGCCAGTGGGGATATCTCCATGATTGGTCAATTTGGTGTCGGTTTCTACTCTGCTTACCTTGTTGCTGATCACGTGGTTGTTATTTCAAAGAACAATGATGATGAGCAGTACGTGTGGGAATCTGCAGCTGGTGGATCCTTCACTGTCACCAAGGATGAAACGAACGAGAAAATGGGAAGAGGTACCAAAATTATTCTTCATTTGAAAGATGATCAGTTAGAGTACCTTGAAGAAAAAAGAATTAAAGATTTGGTGAAGAAACATTCTGAATTTATTTCGTTCCCCATTAAATTATATTGCGAAAGACAAAACGAAAAGGAAATCACCGCATCTGAGGATGAAGTAGATGATGAAGATGCTGATGGAGAAAAGAAAAAATCAGGAAAAGACCAATTGGAAGAAGGAGAGGATGAGGAGGATAAGGAAAAAAAAGAACACAATGAAGATGATGAAGACAAGGAAAAAGGAGATGATCATCCTAAAGTGGAAGATGTAACAGAAGAATTAGAAAATGCCGAGAAAAAAAAGAAAAAGGAAAAGAAAAAGAAAAAGATTCACACCGTTGAACATGAATGGGAAGAATTAAACAAACAAAAACCTCTCTGGATGAGGAAACCAGAAGAAGTCACCAATGAAGAGTATGCTAGTTTTTACAAATCACTCACCAACGATTGGGAAGACCACTTAGCTGTGAAACATTTTTCTGTTGAAGGACAATTGGAGTTTAAGGCACTTTTATTTATTCCAAAAAGAGCCCCATTTGATATGTTCGAAAATAGAAAAAAAAGAAACAATATTAAATTGTATGTTAGACGTGTTTTTATTATGGACGACTGTGAGGAAATTATCCCTGAGTGGCTTAACTTTGTTAAGGGTGTTGTTGATTCAGAGGACTTGCCACTTAACATCTCACGAGAGTCCCTACAGCAAAATAAAATTCTCAAGGTCATCAAGAAAAACCTCATTAAGAAATGCCTCGACATGTTTTCTGAGCTGGCCGAGAACAAGGACAACTACAAGAAGTTTTATGAACAGTTCAGCAAAAACTTGAAGCTGGGAATTCACGAGGACAACGCCAACCGCGCAAAGGTACATTTTTCATCTCTCTGTGCTGGTGTAGCGCTGCCGAGGGGAGAAGCGTTCGGCGAAGCGTTGGGCGCATCGTTGTGTGCGTCGTTCCCCCCTCATGCATGTGTAACCCCTTCGTCCCTTGGACCACTCCAAATTTAATTACATCCACGTGAACCCTAAAAAGAGGGAAAACGCGTGCATGTCCAGACGTTTGGGAAAATAATTCGGGAGCAACTCCACTTCGTAATCACGCGGGGTGTTGTACTCCGCTGATTAATCATCGAGTGGGTTGTCTTTTTTTTCTCGCGCGCTTATCACCTTAGCATGTGTTTATTGTTTGCCCCTGTCATGTGTGTGAGGATAAGGGGCGGGTTAGGGTAGGTAGGAAATTGGGGGGTAGACTTACAAGGCGATCTTCGTTTAGTGTGTCTTGCCTTTCCTTTCCTACTTACCCTAACCCGCCGCTTAACCTCACATGACGCGGGTGAATAAGACGGCCGCGTGGCCACGAAAATTAAACACATTGAGTCATGGAAGCGTAACAAAATATTCCTCCGCAGTGCTACACAAAATTGCGCCTATTACTTCCTTTTTTTGCATGCCCCCCCCCCCCCCTATTGGTAAAATTTCCCTTCATATACACGTCATCCCTTTTTCTGTTTCACCGTCCCTGTGCAGATCACCGAGTTGCTCCGATTCCAAACGTCCAAGTCCGGCGACGAAATGATAGGACTGAAGGAATACGTGGACAGAATGAAGGAGAACCAGAAGGACATTTACTACATCACTGGTGAATCCATCAACGCAGTGTCGAACTCTCCATTTTTGGAAGCTCTCACCAAGAAAGGATTCGAAGTGATTTATATGGTGGACCCCATTGATGAGTATGCAGTTCAACAGCTAAAGGACTTTGAAGGAAAGAAATTAAAATGCTGTACCAAGGAAGGTCTAGACATTGATGATTCTGAAGAAGCTAAAAAAACCTTCGAAACCATGAAGGCTGAATATGAAGGTTTATGTAAAGTCATAAAGGATGTGCTTCATGAGAAGGTAGAGAAGGTAGTAGTAGGACAAAGAATCACCGATTCCCCATGTGTCCTAGTTACATCTGAATTTGGCTGGTCAGCAAATATGGAAAGAATTATGAAGGCACAAGCATTAAGAGATAATTCTATGACTAGCTATATGTTATCGAAAAAAATTATGGAAATCAATGCACGCCATCCAATCATTACTGCTTTGAAGCAGAAGGCAGATGCTGACAAGTCAGACAAAACAGTTAAAGATTTAATATGGCTTTTATTTGACACTTCTCTGTTGACCTCTGGATTTGCTCTCGAGGAACCAACCACCTTCTCCAAGAGAATTCACAGAATGATTAAATTAGGTCTGTCCATTGATGAGGATGACAACAACGACATTGAGTTGCCACCCTTGGAAGAGACCATCGATGCTACTGACTCCAAGATGGAAGAGGTTGATTAATCCCTCTGCGCGTCAAACTTCATCCAGCACACGTGACAAAAAAAAAAAAAAAAAAAAAAAAACACGTGTTTTGTGTGCATATAACACGGACTAGAGAGACCGGCCACGTCGTGGGAGAAAATGGGGTCAGCGGGGTAGTACCGCCGCGCGCCTGTTCATTTCGTTGCGCCTCCAAAACCCATGCAGCCCTCTGTTTATCTTAACTCCCCCCTGCACGTTACCGTTCCGGCACACCTCGCAGGGCGGAAAGCACATTTTTTAATAACACATGTGCCATACCAAAATAAACATACACACGTATATATATAAAATGTATAATATATATAAATATATATATAAATATATATGAAAAAAAAAAAAAAAAAAAAAAAAAAAAGGAAATTGTTTACTTATTTCCATTTGAATGTGTACCTGTGTGCATGTTATTTTATCGCCTTGTTGTTTACACGTGTGTACTTTTTTTTCAACTCCCCTGTGCGGAGTTGTTAATGTCTTTTATGCGCACGCGCAAGTGCACGGATACCCAGCAATCCACATGCGTATAACTCCTGCACATGTTCTCTTACCCATTGTGAACTTCAAAATAAAAAAACAAAAAAAAAAAAAAAGCAACAACAACAGCAACAGCAACTACAAGCATGAGCCATACAAAAAAAAAAAAAAAACTGTACGAGGAAAAAACGAATTTATAAATTGAAACACATTTTTGTGAAAGTTCAAGTGTGAGCAACTGGCCATCGTAGAAAGAGAAACCGGAAACCCCCATTTAAGTCGTCCTCTACTCTCTCGGTGTGATACGTGTTTCCTTATGGCACGCGTTCAATACATGTCCGTTCCTCCACGAGTACACATATTGTGTACATGCGGTCAACATGACCAAGGCGAACAATTTTCTACACTCGCCTCCCCGAAGTGTATAAACCATGGAGTGGTCCCCTCATGTGCTTCTGCACGTTCGTCCACCCCCTTTTGACGTACAAGCGATTATCATTCATTTGGAATATTTAATTAATTTTTTTTACGTCTCCACAAAAAAAAAAAAAAAAAAAAAAAAAGCGAGCACCACTTCCTATGGAAAAAAGTGCCTCTTTACACGAACAAATGGGTTGAAGCATAATGGAATGACATGACACTGGCACACAGTGTGTGCACTTAAGAAAAATTTCTTTTTTTTACACGAATTTGGGTGTACTTACCAAAGTAAGACGCGATGAGGAGTAACGGAAGTGGCCCTTCGTTGGAGCCCCTCTCTCTTCTCCCACCGCAATTCAAAAAAAAAAAAAAAAAAAGGAACTTTGTAAAACTAAACCGATGGAAGAATGCAGGAACATGTAGGACATCTCCATCCGTAGGATTAGTTATTCTTACTCTCGTTTAGGATTGCCTCGTTCTGCTTCCGCAAAACCTCCTTCAAGTCACTTATGAGGGCATTCTCCCGATTCGCCCTCTCTTCGTAGTTAAACATGGCGAGGGCCCTCTGCTCCTCTGCGCTGTACACTTGATTCTCCTTTCGCATACGGATGGCGTTCATTCTTTTGTGCCTCGATCCACTCATGACATAACCAAGGCTCTCGAAATTTTCAATCGCCTCAGCAGACAACCCGACTTCTCCTCTTCTGGGAATTCTCTTCCCCTTCTGTACGAACTGCGCGATGGCTTGGCCCTCTCCGGGCATCATGGCCGCACCGTAGTCTATTTGCTGGTTAGCTAATTTGACGTTCACATCCAGTGGCTTTGGTCCCACGTCGCTTCCTTCTCCGGATGAGTCTTCACAGTTACTGGGGCTCTTCTCCCTGGTGACCTTTGCTCCTTCCTCCTCTTCAACCAGTGCTTCTTCATTCTCTTCGGACTTCCTTCCACGATCGCCTGATCCCTCCCTGCTCATATCTTTATCATGCAGGGAGTCGTACCCCTCGCACAGGAAGGACAGGGACGTGGCAGACGTGCCAGCCGCGTCGCTCTTTTCCTCTATGCTATCAGAATATTCAGAGTCTTTTTTCGTTTTGTTTCTCCTTTTGGACTTCCTCTTGCTTTCTTCATCTTTGCTCTTCCTCTTTTTTTTTTTCTCCTCATGTTTGCTCTTTTTTTTTTTTTTTTCGCTTCTTCTTTTCCCCTCTTCGTATTTTCTCTCTTTATGTTTTTTTTTGTCCCGCTTGTGGCTGTCGCTGTAACTGCTGCTTCTGCTTCTGCTTCTGCCTCTGCTTCCGCTTCTGTACCTATGACGGTTGCTCTTCTTGGAGGACTTTTTCTCCGCTTTGCTCTTTTTTCTCTCAACGGATGACCGTCTCCTCTTCTCCTTTTCAATGCTCCTGTTTCCCCTTTCTACCTCCTCCCCGGACGACATACTCCTTGAATATTTCTTCCCGTCCCTCTTCCGTCTGTGTGACTTATGACTGCTGTTGTGTCTTCCCTTTTCTCCATGCGAGAGCGACTTGGAATTGGAGGAAGTGCCGTTCCGCTTCCTACGCGCGTTATCATCCTCATCACTGTGCTCATCAACATATGAGGAGTCCCCCTTATGGTGCTTTCCCCTTTGAGCCTTTTCACTTTTTTTGTGTTTTTTACTTTTATTCTTGCCTGCCTTCTCTCCATGTTCGCAACCCGAGGACACCCTCTCGTCATCGTCCTCTTCAGAGTTCGGTACGAACTTCTTCCAGGTGCTTGGAGACAACGACTGAGATCGCCTGAAAATTTTGTTTTGATCAAACGGCAGACCAAATCTGTAATCATTTTTTTTTTGCAGCCATTGTGTGTAGTTGTTCCAGCTCTCTTTCGTTGTGTGATATCCCAAGGGGACTCGAAAGAATTTCTTTTCTACTTTTTCTCCTGTCATTTGGTTATATAAATATTTGTTTTGTCTTTCTTCCCTCCTGAAGTGTGTGTGATCATCATCCCGCACTCGGCTCCCCCTTTCTCGTGCGTTCAAGGATATGTGATGATTTCTCAAGGAGTCTCTGTCCCTGCTTCGTCTGTGGCGGTCCCGGCTGCGAACGCGATCTCGGCTTCTACCCCCATCCCTGCTTCGTCTGTGGCGATCTCGACTTCTACCCCTCCTGGGGCTGTCGCGCATATCCCTGCCGACTCGCTCCTCAAGCGAGGAACTGCCCCACCGAGGGACCATCCTCTCGCGGTAGTCCTTCCTATGTGCCCTTTCGGGAGAGCTATACCGGGGGGAGTCATTGGCACCCCTTCTGTAGCGCTCGTGTGGATTATTACGGCTAATTCTATTTCTGCCGGGGGGGATATACAAATCCCTGCTGTCAGAACTTGGTCTTTTTTTCATTCCACGCGATGTGGAGCGATTAATGGTGGAGTCACTTCCTCCTCGTGGACGTTTCCTGTTCTTTCTGTTTGGGTACCCTTTGCTTAAGGTTCTGTCTCGAGGCATGCTTTGTTCCTCCTGCTGCTCGTCCTGTTCTGCAGCTCTTCCCTTTTCCCCATCACAAATTCCATACTCCCTTTTAAACTTTTCTAACTTTTCCTTCAGTTTAGCTCGTAAGGTTTCTCGGTCCTTCTGCAGTGGAGCGGGTTCTCTCTTGGCAGTCTCCCCCGCGGGTGGGGATTCGGCGTCGTCGTTGCTTCTCCCGCTTCGCCCACTGCTTGCGCTTCTAAAACTTTCACTTTCGCGCCCCACCCCACGGGCACTATTCGCCTCCTTGAGTCTTCTGAGCTTTTCCTTCAGTTGAAGAAACTTGCTCTTGTTATCACTTTTTGCCTGTCCAGTGGTAACCTCCTTTGGGCTCGAACCCTCCTCCTCCTCCTTGTCCTCTTTGGCCGAATCGGCACTGTTGGCATCATTATGTGCACCACTATTATTAACACTCTTGAGCCTTTTTAGTTTCTCTTTAAGTTCCATATGCTTCTGCTCAAACTGTGTTTTTTTCAGTTGGTCCATGGGATCTTCCTCGCTGCCGCTGATGCTTGCAGCGTCGCTTTCTTTGGCGTCGCTACTCATCGTGGATTCTCTTGTTATTCGTTCTTAGCGTTCGGGTTGTGCATGTGGGGGAGGGGATATGGATGCGTAAGGGTTCCTTTTTTTTTTTTTTTTCCCAATAGATATTATGTAGGTGGGCAGGTAGCGACACTTCCAAGTGAGTACACTTGTGTAGGGTACGCCTCCTTCGTGGGAACCCTAGCAAAGTCCCTTTTAGTGTTGCGCTCGGCACAGTTATGCCCGTCCCACAACTGTGCCCCTCCTTTGGGAAGGAAAAATTATTCTCCCGCAGGCGGCTGCGCTGCCCCGTTGATGGAAAATCGAGCAACTTGCTCTATATGGGGTCACGCATAGGATACAAAATTCGATGTTCTCATTTCGGGTGAACTGTCCCCTCAACATTATACTCGACAAACAATCTTCTCACGCAAGTAGGTATCAAACCACGTGGTGATACTTAAAAAAAAAAAAAAAGGAACTCGCGCTTCTGTTTCCTCGCAGGCGCTTAACGGTTTTTTTTTGCAGTTTTTTGCGTACCGCATGCGCCGTAAAAAAAACATACCAGTTTGGACGAACAGTGGTAACATTATGCGTTTCGTGCTTTGCAATTTTGAATGGCATGTTTTTTTTTTTTTTTTTTTTTTTTTTTTTTTTTGGCACGATTGTTCTGTTTAAATTTCCCACTCCCACAAGGTTAATATTAACCTGCTTGTTTTGTTCACCTTTTGTTGCCTGCCCAACGGAAGTGCATCTCTCTAAAGATGACCCCGTTCTGTTTTGCATCATTTTGCTTCTTCCCATTTTAAAGCGAATTTGTCGCTTTTGTCCGACTTCTGACATTGTGCGGGAAAAAATAAAAAGGCCGTTCTGCAGCAGCGGGGATGGAACTTCAAAAGGAGTATAAAACCAACAACACATGCACCTGTGTACCGACGTTTCGCCCCCCCCTCGGCTGTAGACCCACTTCCCCATTTTGCCATACAATTCGAACTTCTAAGCACCACGCTGCAACTAACAAAATTGAAACGTCTTAATTTGTTTTTTCTTTTTTTACCCTCCTTGAAGGGTTGTGAACACAATGTTGAGAAGGATAAGACAAAAAAAAAAAAAAAAAAAAAGGAGCCACAAAGCGGAACGGAAACGAATGGGACAATGTTGTCTCTGTGCAACTAAGCAGATCTGCCAAATGCACCCCCGAGAGAGGAAAACCCCTCCAACTTGCTCCAAGCTATATCTGGTTCAAAATGGAGCCCACAAAACAGTTGACCCGTGAGTTGATGCAACGCTTGAGGACACAACTGTGCGAGGGGGAAGACGCAATGGGGACACCTTTCACACTTGCGTGTAATGTGTTTATCCACCGCGGTTCTGCGCACCTATGAAGCAAAGCTTACTCCCCAATTGGGTGAATTAACTTTCTCCTTACTGTGTAGAGAGGTAGCCATTGTGATTATTCACTCTTGCACAGAGGAGGGGCGTGGTCGATATACTTCCTCTCTTCTATGGGGACGTCACATGGAACGGGAGCGATGATATTCTCGTAAACGATGTATGGCTTCTCAACACAACAGTCCACGTAAATAACTTCATCAGTGTACTTGATCACGGGGATTATTTTCTTACGGATGGGGACTATTTTAAAATTATCTCTAAATTTTAACATGGGTACTTGAACAGGTATGACAACTGGCTTGGGAACCAAGTAGGTGTAATCAACATTTACGTTCTCCTTCAAACAGTTCACAATTTCAATGTTTTTTTTTAATTTGGGGACGAACACTGTTTCGAACTTGGGCCTAGCACATTCATTCTCACCTTTAAATAGGTTAGTTGTAGGATGCTCTGTAGCTACTGCCACCCCCTTTTCATGTGCGTACTTTGTGTTGTACATCTGACCTAAGCGCGGCACCATCGTTGGAGTCGAATTTGTCCATCTTTGCATGGCTTGTTCATTTTCTCTTTTTTCCTCCTGTTTCAAATTTTCATACAATTTTACGAGATACTCCTCTCCCTTTTTGACATACGTATTAACCTCTTCCACCAACTCCACTGGCTTGTAAAATGCGTTTATCTGCTCACATTCTGAATGAATGGTGCGCTTGGTAATTGGCTTTACAACGCTTATGTGTATGTCGTTTTCTTGGTTGATGAAATCATCAGTTTGGTTAATTTCCACACAGTTTTTCTCCTCCTGACGCGTAAAAGGGGGAGGAAAGAATGGGGATTTGTTCACCACATGTATAATTTATGCAGCTTATTCGTTTAATCTGTCTGCGTCTTTGCGCATTATTGCGCTATTTTGCTATTTTCTTTTTCCATTTTCTATTTATATACTTCTTCTCGTCCCTACCTGTGTGTACCCATCGTTGAGTAACAACTCCATTGTAAAAACAGATGCTCTTCTTTATAAGCTTCCCCGGGGGAGGGTGAGCGGGCAAGTGTCAGTGTGCAGCTGGATATATACACACGGACGTGCACGTACAAACGTTTGGAGCTTCACAAATTGATGCTTTTTAAATACCCAGGAACGTGTAAATAATGTGAAACGCACATGTGTAAATGGTACATGATGGGCGTAGTCCGTGTTCCCCCGTTGTTACGCCTCTTTTTCCGTACGCGCGAGGACACTCGAATGAAGCAAGCGCATCACACACATTTATGAGCTAGTTAAGACAAAATGGAACATAAAAACAACGTTCATTTTAAGGGGAAAAACAACGGTCACGGTGACGGGGTATATAAGTAGTTCATCCGTTCAACATTTCCACACCTTTGAAGACTTAATGAACAACTGCCCCTTCGCACAAAAGGTGAATAATTTAAAAAAACGTATGAATCGTTCAGGCTAAAATGTTTGCGAAAGTGTGCAAAACAGCTAAAAAGGGGAGCAAATTCAGCTAGACAATTTTTTTTTTTTTTTTTTTCCCCATTTTGGCTATTTTACCTGTACAGTTCAAAAAAAAAAGGGAAGTGGATTGTGTTAATTTTTTTTTTTCTCCATTTTGGTAATTTATAATGTAGGAATGTTTATTCAAATGATGGTTGTTAAAATATGGGAAAAATGTAGATCAGTTCGGCGTGGAAACATCCCCACCACGAGTGAGTACGCGTTTAAATCGGTCTAAAAAGACGTACAAAAAAAAGAGGTTCACGGAAGCGAAGTGGAGATCGAGCTGAACCTCGCTGGCTGTGCATACGAAGGTGTACATTTGTACGTACTTACGCGTGTGTCTATCTGCCTCATTTTTTACTGATATGTCCTCCAATATCGCAGTGAACAAATCTCTAACGATATTATAATTAAAGATGAGCATGTGCAACACTACATAAAAATAGTCGCGATTTCGTAGCGCAACTGATGGAGGACACACAGTCTGGAGCACAGCGATGGCAGATTTGCCGCACCGCTTATTCAGCAATGTCGTCTGTCACCTTCCTGCTCCGTGTGACTAATCCCCGCCCTTTTCTGCAGCCTCTTCCTCCCTCTTTCGCAAAAGCTCTGTATCGTGGTGATACTTACTCATGTGTAAGTAACACGGGTGAGGAGGCATAAAGTCCTCCAGAATCCAGTGCGGTCCTCTTTCTTTTCTTCTTCGATCGAGATACCTCGTAACAGGGTTGGTGTTTTCAGCTCGTTCTCTTGCCTTATTAGCCTCCACCCACTCGACGGTAAATCTCTTTGGTTTTATGCCCAAATAGGACACATGGTGAAATGTAAAGGACAAACCAAAGGCAAATAAAAAATAGGGAATAAAGGCCAAAGGCAAAGGGTACTGTAGTAACCACGCTAATAGGGGCCTATGGTCTTTTGCAAATTCTCCTTGTAAATACGTGTGAAAAACGCCAGCCGGTCTTAAGGTCCATCTTTCCCAATTGTATTTATGGTTGTAATACCTCTGGTTAAGACGATACGTTTTGGGTTCCCCATTTGGCAAAAATTCCCTTGGTGGTGGTTCCGGCAGATTTATCCCCAACGGTTGCGATGCAACATACCTCTTTAGTATTCCGTTAACATTTCTGTTCATAAAAATGAAGCTTGGGCATTTCGCATTAGACTTCTTGGCCAAATTCGTTCGCAGCAGCATCTTCACGTTTGGGTGGGAGAGGGACAAAAAAGTGTTTCGCTGCGTCGATTCTGCTTGGTCATGCGCAAACGTCGGCACACAGTAGGATTCTTCCTAGACGCGCATGCATACGTGGCATACGCGTTGACATTCACGATGCGGGCATGCGTTCGCTGGGGGTACGAACAGATATTATACTAGCGTAATGGTGAAAAGGCGAAGATGTGTGCTGACCGAAAATGGGGTGAATAAAATTACGCACCAGGGTTCTCAAACATTTGTTGCCTCAGCGTAGCTACTGAAAAGTAAAAGAAGGAAAAAAAATGGCCATGCACATTATTTTAAAAAAGAAAAAAAAAAAAAAAAAAACTCTGCTGTGCCTCGTGCGGTTTCTCTGTACGTTGGCACTTTTTCTAATAAACGCGCGTTCAGGAAATCTCGTGCCCCATTAAAAGCAGGGTCACTCTTGCGATGCGCCCTTTTGACACTCGTGGAAGAGCAGGTGCATACACCATGAAAGTTATACATTCGTTTGGGTATTCTCTTGGTTTTGAGATACTCCGCGTTGTTCCCCTCTTGCACTTTACGAGTGGTGTGCAGTTGCGATTATACGTTCAACGGAAGAGGTAACCCAGCAAATGTGTTCATCATGTAGTCCTTTTTTTTTTTTTTTTTTTTTTTTTTTTTTTAACTAAGGTGCAATTCGTGTGGTCAGTGGCCACGTCGTCTCAAAAATGTGAAGGGTAAAAGTTAGGTAAA